ATTTACTCTAAGAAAGTTGTTGAAGTTAAGAGGAACTACAAACACATACACACACAAAAGTCTCATAGTGCATAGAAATACATGATTATTACACAATAATACAACTGTGAGTGTAGGAAATTTAAGGAAGACTGTGGTAGGAATATGGGAAGAAAAAGTAGAACAACAACAACACAATAAAGCTTACAATTACATAATCAAGAAACAATGAGCAAATTAATTTAGGAGCTGTTCAAATCTTAGTTCATTGCCAGTCATGTTGCACAGTTTATACAGCATCTCTAATGTCAGATTAGATCAGAGATCGAGGTTTGTTTTGTTGTGAAAATATTTCAGTTTAAATATGGGGGTCTGTGTGTCCAGGTGTGTGTGTGTGTGTGTGTGTGTGTGTGTTGTTGAAGCACTTGTTCATTTTGATTTTGATTTATCATTTTTAACAACATGTTGTACGACTGCTTGTTGCTGGAGAACATGTTGCGCTGCTAAGAGAAAGCTGTAAACGACTTTTTTTCTCGATATGCCCTCGGCTCTGTGCAAATCACAAGCATGTGTCGGTGCTGAGGGCCTCACCGTGTGTGTAAACAGGGCCCGGCTACAGAGTGAGGAAGATAGCAATCGATCAGACAAACCCAGGAATGACTTATCTTCTTATCTGGAAACTGGGTTTGCCTACGTGAGATAAGGAGTTGTCTGCGTAAGAAACAAGTCGAGTATGATTTATTTTCTGGTTTCTGGACGAAAGAACAAACTCTGAGAGACAGGTTCATGTACTAGAACAATGGTGGTACATTAATGACACCACTCCGTCGCCTTGTCATCTATGACTGTGACAGATGGTTGTGCGAGTTCTTGTTGTTCCTCACCCTTCTGTCAGTTCCACACATCAGGAAACGAAATTCAAGCACTTCGTGTAAAAAGGAACTGTGTGTATGCAGGTCAAAAGGTCACTGCTTTCCCCTGACCAGAGGATTCCTGCAGATCTGTTGTGTCTCAAATTGTGTGCCGTGTAACCGAGTACTCAAAATATCTTTCCAAGTGCCATGTAACATGTCGTTAATTAAAAGTTGCGCAACAAAGATAAACAAAGAACACGCAACACTTCTTCCTTACAAGTGCACTGAGCACATGCTGGTCCGTGTAGCCGTACACCTCTGTCCAAACCTTAATTTGTTCCTTTTCTATAACAAATATACTGACATTCCAACGCATTACCCCTAGATCATCTCACTGAATCAACCTAAAAGTCTTTTTGTAGGACAGAGAAGGAATTTGAAAAATGAACTCTAAGTGTTAGATTTAGACTAGTCAAACACAC